GAGAGGACGGGCAAGCTCACCTGTGCCGTGGGTGAGTCCCAGCAGGGCCGGGCACACGGGAATGGCAGCTGCCATCTCTTCTCTGAGTGAGCTCTCACTCATCTCACACCCCCTGGAGATGGTGATTTAGGGAGCGGTGGTTTTGTGGGGTGATAGAGAAAATATCAAAATTTTGCACATGGAAATTCAATACCAAACTCCTCATCACCCTTTCAGGTGGCAGCTTTGCAAAACAGAGCTTGAACCTGATCAGGTGAAGTGCCACTGTTAATCTGAGCTGTGTTTCAGCATTGTAGATGTAATGGTGCCACCTGCTTTCAGCATTGGAGATGTAATGGTACCACCTACGACTGAGATACATCAATCACTGATCTGGGGGTCCATTAAAACAAAACTTAAGAGCTTAAATTCATGATTTCTGTTTAAAATCTTGCTTTTGTTGACTGGGTTAAGTGTTATAATATTCCAGTGTGGTGCAGATGACTTTGGTGGGGTTGCAGGTTGCCCCTGTTGCTTAACTCCCAGTTTTGTTTGTGTTCTGCCCTGCAGGTGATGGAGGGAATGATGTTAGCATGATTCAGGAGGCTGACTGTGGTGTTGGAGTTGAAGGAAAGGTGAGATTACCTCATCTTTAATGAGAATTTCTGTAGCCAGTTTTCAGGCCATTCTTAAATGAATCCTCAGATATTTGTGCAAGAAAGCAAACAAGCTCCCACAAGAATCATCATCAGACCAGTAGCCCTATAATGAGAAATAATTTGACTATAAAGGAGACTACCAGTAAAGGGAGTTAAAGTTCATTATTTGGTTTTTGGCAGAATCTCTGAATTTGTTCCCTCATGGTTAGTTTTGGGGGGTTTTGATGCTCCAATGCTGGAGTTATAATTACACTGATAAGATATACCCCACATGCACAATTAAAAAGTGCTCACATTAGTTTGCAAAACAAACTCTGGGTTGGAGCTCTGATTCCTGCACCTGGGGCTGTGTGGAGCTGCAGGACTGGATTGGCAGCAGCAGACAGACTCTGCTTGCAGCGAGCCAAAATTGTGTGAACTTTTGAGACTGAGAATTTGTTCAGCACTGCCTTGATAGGAGTGTCACGTTAACATGTGTGTTGTGGATCAGAATCCAGAGCTGCTTAGAATTGGAGGCCAAGGTTCAAATGGGAATTCTCCTCATATTTTTGCTCTTTGCTTAAAACCCACAGTGGAAGGAGAAGTACTGAGGCAATGCTCTCTCTCACCTAGCATAGTGCAAATATTCCTGGAAATTCTGCCAGTGATAACTCAATAATAATAACACGATATTCTTTGTTTCCAGTGCTGAATGATCTCACTGTGCCTTTCCTTGCCCTTGTTCCCAGGAAGGGAAGCAGGCATCACTGGCAGCTGATTTCTCCATCACTCAGTTCAAGCACCTGGGCCGGTTGCTCATGGTCCATGGAAGGAACAGCTACAAGAGGTCTGCAGCCCTCAGCCAGTTTGTGATCCACAGGAGCCTCTGCATCAGCACCATGCAGGTAAAGGGGCTGCCAGGAGAGGCTTTCCAAAAGAGGTGGAGGAGCCAAATCATGAAAGAAAGATCCTGTGTCTCATTTGCTATGCTGCTATTTCTTCCCCTGAAAGTTTTCATGGGTTAGGACTTGAAATTGTTACTTTGATATGAAAGCACATGAGAAAATTCCTGGTGTTGGACAAATACCAGCAACTGCTCCAAAGGAGTAGAAGGGGTTGATGTTCCATTAGTCTGTCATTATTTCAGGAGTTGGGAGAGCCCACTGCAAAAATGTTCCAGTTTGAGCAGTGTATTTTTAGGCTGTTACTTTTACTGCAGTATCTCAGTGTCTAAACAGCTCATTTCTTTTCTAGGCTGTTTTCTCATCAGTGTTTTACTTTGCTTCAGTTCCTCTCTACCAAGGCTTCCTCATCATTGGGTAAGAGCTCATTATTACTGGTAATGAGGAGAAAGTCTGCACAGTGAGCACTCCTGGGCTGATTAACATGCAAGCCATGCACATCTCCACTCTGCTTCAGGAGCTGGGTGTGAGCCTTGTCCCCTTCAGGGCAGACACTTGCAGAAACCTTTCCAGCAGGATGGTTTGTCATGTTTGTGAAGCAGCCCACCCTCCAGGAATGTTCCCTTGGTCCCAGTAAAAGCAGAGGGACAGCTGTTCTGGGCTGGTGTCTGCACAGCAGTGAGTGGCAGTGCCAGGAAGAGAGACAACCCAACCTTAGTTCCTGCCCAAAAACTCCCTAAAACAGGCCATTGCAACTGTAATCCCAGCATGACTTCTTATACTTTCAAGTACATAATTTAAAAACCAGCAAGTTCATCTCCATTGCCTTCTGATGCAAACAGAATCAGTCCTGAGCTCTAGGGCAGACTTTGGATGGGCACAGGTCAGTCCTTGGCTCCATTAAAAACCCACTGCAATATTTGAGCCAGTCACTTTTGTATGAGTGTTCCTGATCAAGAGTCACTCAAAAAGCCAATCCTGATGGCTTTTGCCTACCTGCAAAACTCTGGTGTGCTCAATTGCCAGTTTTTATAATGTGTGTATTATTGGACACTTAAAGAATGTGGTATTTCCTTTCTGGAGCCTAGCATTTGTTTGCTCATGTCTACCTGAGGTAATTTACTGATTTCCTGACTTCTTCCCAGGTACTCCACAATTTACACCATGTTTCCTGTGTTTTCTCTTGTCCTGGACAAGGATGTGAAGTCTGAAGTTGCAATGTTGTACCCAGAGCTCTACAAAGATCTTCTTAAGGTGTGTGAGACTCTTGTTTGTGCGTTTTGCTTTAAGGCAAGATCCTCATCTTGATTTGAAACTGTAAATGTGTAAAGTCAAATATTGCCAGGAGATCCAGAACTTTACCAGGCATTTTCAGGCAAAACTGTGTTAAAGTCAAATTTGAATCCACAGATAGAACCAGAATTTCTGGCAGTTGTTTATTGAATGCTGCATGAAATGTAATTTATTAAAAGCGGCTGGGCAAGTAGAGGTTCCATTCTGTGGGAAATTCTGGGGATTTAATATTACCAATTTGTTCCATAATAAAGGGAAAAGAGAAATTGTTGGGGATTTGGCACTGTCCTGAAGCCAGAAAAGGGAAGAGGGGAAGGGATATGCTCATTTGATGGAGGCAGGGGCTTATCCCAGAGTTTCTGCAGTAGAAATGTGACTGCAGCATGGTCTAAAGGTTTGCTTGCTGTGCCATTTTTATAGCTTTAGCATCTATGTCAGGCCCTTCTCCTTAAACAAAGAAAACTTTATTTGATGTTTGCCATAGAAATATGAGGAAGGTAGATCTTGTCTTAGGCTGCTTTTTTCTTCCTCCCTGGAAAATGTTTTGAATAACTGGGGTGTGCAGCCTGGGAACATCTTTCTTAGTTGGAGGAGAGGGTGGACTGAGTCTTCCCCAGCTCCTTTCCCTCAAGGGTTGCTGTTAAACAGATACTCTGAGAAGCACTGCCTGTTTTTCCAGAGCCTCAATAAGTCTCCATCTGGTTTCACTTGGATGTTGTCTCTTATGTCATAAACCACTAATTCTTCAACCATCCTTAGGCCTGGTCTAAACATAGGGGGTTTTGTGCTGGTATAGCTGTGTTGGCTGGAGATGGGTTTTTAAAATCTATCTGCCTTCAATATGAGGGTGATTTGTGTGTGTCGAGAAATACAGTATTAATGTATTCACATCAATGTGTGTACACACATCTTCTATTTCATAGTGATTCAACTCCTGAGGCATCTTTGCACTGGATGAATTGTGTGTGCACTGAGGGCCAGGTTGTGCTGGGGAGCCCTGAGCTACCACAGCCCTTCCATGCATCCAGAAAAATGAGAATAAAGGGACACTACCTCAGCGTTGCTTGATTTGTTTTATTTTCTTTTATTTTTTCCAAAGCACCTTCCAGTTCTTTTATTGATTTCTAAGTTGATCAATAAGTGAATTTTTATAAAAGAAAACCCCAATGGAGCTTTGTCTTTTTTTCCCCCACCCAGGGACGACCGTTGTCATACAAAACGTTTTTAATCTGGGTCTTGATAAGCATTTATCAAGGTAAGAAATCAACTTCTGCTTGTACCTTTAGATGTTGTAGTGTGTGTGGCTATCTGAGTTTTGGTATTGCAGAAGTTAAGTAAGGCATGAAATGAATTTCCCAAAGCATCCTTGTGGTGATGAATATATATTTTTTCGTCTCGGAAAATGTCGGTAGCGTTACCAAAGGAAAAAACTATCTAAACCCAAATATTGGCAGTAATTGGTCAGCGCTGTGATGTAGAATTCAAACCATTGTGTCTCTTCCCATCAGAGCCATCCACTGGCACTCTGTCCTTGCAGTGCTGTAGTTACCCCTCTGTAAAGCAGAGCTCATTACTCTCCCTCCCCTTCTTTAGGGAAAAGTTCTCCAATCTATGGATTTTGCAGGTTTTTCTTGGCATGTAAAATGCAGCATCTGTAGCCTTCTGTATCTTATCCAAAAATGGAAGTGGCAAGAGTTCTGGTTGCTTCACAGGCATCTGTGATTCAGGGTCACAGCCAAACTCACGTTCTTGATCATATCTCACACACACTAATTAGGCTGCTAAAGCAATTAGGTAAATGCCTTAATTACAATGCATTTTCAACAGTGGATGTAGTAATTTGGGTATGTATCTAAGAAGGTATTTTCTTTCATTTTGTCTTTTTCTAAAATCAAGGACTCTCAAATTCAAATGGTCTCTGTAGGTATTAATCAGGGACTTGTAGAAAATACGTCAATAATGTGGAGCTAAAAGCTGAGGTGGCAAAATTCTCTGTTTTCTCTTTGTCAACAAGAGTGAGAATAAGGGGTCAAAAGAAGCAGGTAATTCTTACAGATTTAATTAATGTTGCCATCCTCAGCAGGGAGTGAATCTAGGAGTGTAAAATCTCCATTAACTTTATTTTCTGAAATCTATCACAGGCATCCTACAACAGGGATCAAGGGCTTGGGATGCTGAGTAACACAATGGCAAAGCCAAGGCATGGAGAGAACACTCCCAAGTGGTGGAAGGCTGCAGCCAGGGGGTGATGCATGGAGGGAAAGATTGCTCCTTGAGCTAAGAGCCCTCTCTGGTTACAGGCTTTGGTTAAAGTGACTTCACCAGTGCTGTGCTCAAGAACCAGCAAACAGCGGCCAAACAACGGGGCCAGTTGCTAGCAGAGATGAGCCCGACCAAAACTTGAGCAGCCCAAAAGTTTGGAAAGTTCACAGCTGGGTTTGAGCTCTGTGGCTGGAGCTGGGTTCCCTCGCAGGTTTTCCCTTCCGGAGGCGGCCGAGTGATGGATGTTGGTGTGGATTACTCATGCTGCTCACATGAGTTATTTGTGCAGGTGGCCTGGACAGCCCTGGCCAGGCTGCATAGGAGCACAAACAATGCCTCGTTAGCAGGGCTTTAATGGGATCCTCTTAGGGGAGTGTAAAGGGGAGAGATCTCAGCTCAGGCAGTGCAAATTGAGCCTCACTTGTATCCACTGAGCTTTTCAACACTTGGCTGCCTCTTGGCATGAGGCAGTGTGGTAGGATATAGAAGAATTTGATATCTTTTAGCTTCTGAGTAGTGACCAAGTGCTTTTGTGGGAGGATAGGGTTTCATGATGTTAGAGATCTCCAGTTGCCAAAACAGCATGTATTAATTTCCTATCGCCATGTGTCTATGAACATGATAGACTGTTAGAAAACTTTGGGTACCTCTGCTGTAACTTTTCCCTGCCTTCTCATCAGTTCTGTCTCCTAAATAGTAACTGATTTGTTGTCATTACATTCATCAGGTTTCATGAAAAACAGCCTCAAGATAGAATTGTTTCAGCCTTTCCAGGACCTAACTGTGGGTTTGAGAACTGAGCCTGGTGTGTTTGACTGAAATAGTTCCATTCCCTTGCAGGTAGCATCATCATGTATGGAGCTCTCCTCCTCTTTGAATCCGAATTTGTGCACATTGTTGCCATTTCCTTCACGTCCCTGATCCTCACCGAGCTGCTGATGGTGGCCCTGACCATCCAGACGTGGCACTGGCTGATGATCGTGGCTGAGCTGCTCAGCCTCTCCTGCTACATCGCTTCCCTGGTCTTCTTGCACGAGTTCATTGGTGAGGTTTCACGCTCTCCTCCACTCAGTTCATGGCCTGGATGGTGACAGGAGTGAGCTGAGCAGAAGGCTCTTGGTGGGGCCAGCAGCAGGCACAGTGACAGTGGTGCCACAGTAAGCTCTGTGGGATTTGAAGGCATTTGGAAGATATTTTATGGTTTCTTCCCACAGCAAAATGCTAGAGAAGGTAAAGGTGGTCAGGAGGGTGTGCTGAGACCCAGTGAATCTCATCCATTGTTTGAGCACCAGCACATGTCAGCTGTCTCATGTAGCAGTGACCTTTATTTCCATGTGGGAATTTGAGATGGAAGGGTGAAGTCTCTGCTGTTGGATTGAAAGATTTTGTCTTTTAAACTGGGAGGAGTTGCCTCCTAAAACTTACCTTATTGTATCTGTTCACTGGGACCATTCTCTTACGGGTTTGGTTGTTTGTGTTTTAGTTGCCTGAGGCAGAGCTAATCCTATTCCCTGGCTAGAGGAAGAAGGGTGAGGAGTTCCAGATTCCCCCAGTAACTGTCGGGTTGCCAATATCAGACCCATGGGCTTGTTCAGTGTTCATTCAGGAGCCACAAGATGTCACTGCTTCTTCCATAAAGCTCTTTCCTAACTGAAGACAACAGGGAAAACTACCCCTGGCTGGATCTGTCTCTTGCATGTGGTTATTCCAGTTCCATTTTGAACGATGCTTTAGCTCTTTTTGTAAAGGTTCTGAGGTGTTTTGGGTCAGGAGCTGTGTTTGCTGGGCTCAGCCAGGCAGCAGGGGCAGCTCCCAGAGCAGGAGGACACTCAGTGCTTGGCAGTGCCAGGAGGATGTCCCTGTTCCAGGTGGGGTTTGGGAGGGCAGTTACCTGTGAGAGCCACACTCCTTACACCGCACTGCTCAGCACATCTCTGCATCTTCTGGGGAAGAGCAGGGCAGAGGAGTGAGGAGCCAGGTGTCATATGAGCTTTGATCTTGGAGATGGGGCAGCTTTAAGAATTGTGAAATTCTTAGCATGGCCTGGGTTGGAAGGGAGCTTAAAGATGATCTGGGTCCAACCCTGTCCCACAGGCAGAAGGAAGCAGTGGGGGATTGAGCTGCATTTCTACACCCCTTCCCAGAAGGTTCTCCCCGTGGTTTTGACTCTGTGCTCGTTTCTCCACACAGATGTTTACTTCATTGCCACCTTGTCGTTCCTGTGGAAGGTCACTGTCATCACCCTGGTGAGCTGCCTGCCCCTCTACGTGCTCAAGTACCTGAGACGGAGGTTTTCTCCCCCCAGCTACTCGAAGCTCACGTCCTAGGGCTGCTGCTGCTGGCACACAGAGACAGGCATTGCCCAGGGCCCCGAGACCCCCCAGCTGCTCCCCAATGAGCAGTCCTGGCCCTCAGGGCCCCGTGGTGATCTCTGGTACCTGCTGCTGCGGTGAGGCACTTCCAGACTGCCCTGGACGGGACCCCAACACCACAAGGGACTGTTTGGAGGGTGGAGGCTCTGAGTTCATCCGGTTCTTGGCACTTTTGTTCTACTTAACTGGGGTCAAATGCATGGAACTGCGATGGCAATGGGTTTCTCTTGCATGGTTCAAAGTCTGTGGAAGCTGCTACCTGACCTTGGGATTTACATTTGACAATTTGAAGTGAATTTTTTAAGTGTCTACACTGTCCTTTGCATTGTGTTACCTTTTGTTAAGTTTATGTTATTCGTCTTTTTTGATTCAAGTAGTTACATTCTTTTTACATCTTGGAAATCCCTTAATGTAGGTGATGCACTACACTGCTGACAGCTGATTCCTGATTTATGGCATGTTGTTTCCATAATGGGGCTCCAGCCTGTCGGATCTACACACACTGGAGAATCTGAGCGTGTCTGAGATTTTCCTTCCGTTGAAATGTGGTCACCCCAGTGACTTTGGAGGTATCCAGCCATTGATAAAGACAGAAAAGTGGTAGCTCAAAACGAGAAAATTCAGTTTTGTTTAGCTTTTGTCCTTCCTGTTAAAAGGAGCAGTGACATAATAGTTTCACTCTGTATTTATTTGTGTAGGAGAAAATTATCTAAACTAAAGCAAATCCTCTTTGGAACAGAACTTTGCAGTTGATCATCCTTGAAATGTGTCGACAACGTGAGAAGAGTCTCGTACTGTTCTGCAGACAATGTGGCAGACGTGTCTTGAATCCTTGGAGACTGAAAGGAGAGGTCACAGAGCTGCTACTCCTCACAGCTCCATGAAATCTGTTTCCTGTTAGTGTGAAACTTTGAGGATGAGCTGCAAGTAAGCAGAGGCACTCCTAGGTGGATGTTTTAATGACATGCTCCCTGCAGAGAGGCACTTTTTGGAGCCTTGCACTTGCTTGGCTCTAAAAACCAAACCTGAATCACAAGAGTGGGTTCAGACAAAGGCATTAGGCTGAGTGCAGAGCAAATTTATGTGTTTTTCATTCACAAAAATTAAACTCGGTGAGTTCTGTCATTATTATAATTATTTAGTCCACATTATAATTTCATGAGGAGAGCCACACGTACTTGGGCTTCTCAGTAGAAGGACAGAGACTTACAGGGACCTTTTAGAGCTGAGTTGGTGCATCAAGCATGGATGGGCTTTTAGTGGCAGCCATCCTTGTCTGAGGCTCCTCAGTCTGTGCTAAATTAGCTGCTTGCTGTCTTCTTCCCACATCAGAGAAACCATGGGTGGAGCTGGCACTGCTTGGGACCCTTGTTACTTGGCTGCCCGGGGGGAGAGAGCCCAGGCCTGAGCTCCTGTCCCAGAGCAGAACCAGGGCCTGGGCTCCTGTCCCGGAGCAGAACCAGGGCCTGGGCTCCTGTCCCAGAGCAGAACCAGGGCCTGAGCTCCTGTCCCAGAGCAGAACCAGGGCCTGAGCTCCTGTCCCGGAGCAGAACAGGGCCTGAGCTCCTGTCCTAGAGCAGAACCAGGGCCTGGGCTCCTGTCCCGGAGCAGAACCAGGGCCTGAGCTCCTGTCCCGGAGCAGAACCAGGGCCTGAGCTCCTGTCCCAAGGCAGAGCCTGGGCTCCTGTCCCAGAGCAGAACCAGGGCCTGAGCTCCTGTCCTAGAGCAGAACCAGGGCCTGAGCTCCTGTCCCAGAGCAGAACCAGGGCCTGAGCNAACCAGGGCCTGAGCTCCTGTCCTAGAGCAGAACCAGGGCCTGAGCTCCTGTCCCAGAGCAGAACCAGGGCCTGAGCTCCTGTCCTAGAGCAGAAGCAGGGCCTGGGCTCCTGTCCCAGAGCAGAACCAGGGCCTGAGCTCCTGTCCCAGAGCAGAACCAGGGCCTGGGCTCCTGTCCCAGAGCAGAACCAGGGCCTGAGCTCCTGTCCCAGAGCAGAACCAGAGCCTGAGCTCCTGTCCCAGAGCAGAACCAGGGCCTGGGCTCCTGTCCCAGAGCAGAACCAGGACCTGGGCTCCTGTCCCAAGGCAGAGCCAAGGCTCCCTTCTGGCAGTTGGGCTCACAGCCTCCTGTGAATTAATTAATTAATGCCGTTTTGCCAGAAAGGTCCTCAACGTTGTCTTCATCATGACAGGATAGTGTTGGCCATGCCACTGCTCTGGAGTCCCCAGACAGCATTTCAGAGAATCATGGAATGGTTTGGGTTGGAAGGGACCTTAAAGCCCATCCAGTGCTGCCCCTGCTATGGCAGGGGCACCTTCCACTGTCCCAGGCTGGACCTCCCTGTCCAGCCTGGCCTTGGGCACTGCCAGGGATCCAGGGGCAGCCACAGCTGATCTGGGCATCCTGTGCCAGGGCTGCCCACCCTGCCAGAATTTCTTCTCAATATCCCATCCAATTTGCTTTCATTAGTTTAAGTACAAGAAGCAAGAACTCCTCTTGGCCCCAGGTGGTGACTGGGCAGCCCAGTCCCCCTGGGCTCTGGTCCCCAGCCTTGCCCCTCTCCTGTGTGTTGGTAGCTCAGTGTCCTGCAACAGCAACAGTGCCAAGCTACTGTGTGTAAATATTTGAGACATATAAATGGTAGAATTCACTGTTTCCTCAAGTCAATACAGTTTACACTGAGTGGACCATATTTGCAAACTATTAGCTTACACCAAGAAAGGGAGTGAACTGTGATTTCATTTGTATTTATTGAATCATAAGTTTAGTAGCAATTTAGTAGAGTTGATAGTGATCTAGAGCTGTGTTTTGGGGCGTGGATTATGTTCTTTGCAGTTTGTGTTTTTGCACAAGGTAGTAAATCCAGAAGTCATTTCTGCCTGGATATATACTACATCTTTTTAAAGCAGTCAGAGACTAAAACTGCCATCTAACAAACAGCAGGAAAGATGAACACTTCTGTTTTTCAAGTTTAGCACTTTATGTTTGCAATCCATTTCTCATAAGTTATTTAAAAATATTTTTAAAAACAAAATTTAATACACATGTTCCTATTTACTATACATTAAAATAAATGGATTCTCTGCTGGAAATTTCATCTTTTCCTCTAGTATGCTCATAATTTGTACTTTTGGGGAGTGAAGCATTGTTTTCTTCTTCTGTGCAGTATCTTGTTCGTGGCCTTAGTGTTCTTCCTATTCCTTTCAGTGTGGGTTCTGTGCTGTGGCAGTTCATGTGTGACCTGTGTGCTTCGGGCTGCCCCAGGTGGTGCCCCTGGCTGCCAGTGCAGTCTCACTGTGCTCCTGCTGCCCGTGGCTGCCATCACCCCGTGCTGAGGGTGAGGCTTTGTGGCACACTCTGCAGCAATTCCAGGTGTGTCACACCCTCCCTATCCCCTCTCCTCTGCATTTCTCTCCTCTGCAGAGCTCGTGGGGCAGTGGAAACCCAACATTCTGTGTCCCACAGACTGTGCGGGGTCTGATCAGGGCTGTTTGAGCTGAGGGGTGCTCAGGACCATCCCTGGTGTCCCCTTGGGGTGAGCACTGTGTGCTGGGGCTGCAGCAGGGTGTTCTCCTGTGCTCCCAGAGCTGGCCCAGCCCAGCCCAGGACAGCCTGGGCCTCTGGAGCTGCCTGGGAGTGGTGCTGGAGGGGAGCTGGGTTTGTCAGGGAATCCTGCAGCTGCTCTCTGGGGTTTCTGTGTGGGAAAGCTGCTGCTGCTCTGCTGCCCCACAGGGCCCTGGTTTGCCCAGAGAGCTCTGCCCCATCAGGGATGTGAGCCCTGCCTTGTGCAGCTCAGTGTCCTGAGCTGTTCCTGTGCCACTGGGCTCGTCCCACAGTGTCTGGGGCCATTTCAGCACGATGGGCTCTTTATTTATTATTAGTTATGTCATAAGTGTTAAACTCTATTATTTGCATGAAATCTTGTGGTTCACAGCTTTGCCAATATGGTCCATTACTACTGCCTACGACAACTTGTGTACTTATATGCCTTTGAGAACAGTTTTCATTGTTAAAATTGTTTAAAACCTCAGTGTTAAGTTAATTTAATTTTTAATGGGGAAATGGATTCTGGTGTCAAACTGGTATTTACTGTGATGCCGATGTTTTGTACCTGTCATCCAGCTAAACAACCTGTAAATATCCTGAGTCAAGAGAAACATGAATGCCAATTATTTATTGTTCTGTGGAGTTACATGTCGCAGATGTGTAAGACCTTCAAAGGGAATGTTGTAAAACAAGGTGGAAAAAATAAATTTTATGCAACTTCTTTACTTCACCCCTGTATGGTGCACCTGGTTAGTCCTGGCACGGGCAGTCCCAGAGGTGTGGGCATTGTCAGGATACAGGGAAGTTGTACCTGTGGGTGGGAAATGCATCTCCAAGAGCTGATCAGAGCTGCTGTGTTAAATTCTTTCTAGAGCCAGCTTTGGTTTAACAGGAGTGGTCATGCTGCTGGCAGCGCTGCTGGGAATGAGCAGGGAATTGTCACTGAACACAGCCCTGGGAAGAGCAGGGGTGCAGCAGCATTAGGAGCAGCTCTTCTGGGCATGTTCTCATCCCTTGCACACTTGAATCCATGAGTGGCTCTGCACGAGAGCAGCCCCAGGGGCAGGGGAAGAGGCAGGATTGAACACTGAATATTCTCTACAGGGGAAACGTCAATAATGGTGAGTGCAAACACAGCAATTTTCTACAAAAATGTAATAGAGCCGTAAACACTCCTAAAAGCAAGAAAATTAAGAGTGCAATTGGATAAAGTAAATCTCTAACTTGGGAGGCTGTTTATTGGAAGCAGTGATGAGCTATCCCTGGGATCACTGGCCATCTATGGAAGTGTTTCTTTTAGATTCTATAGGACACAGATGCCCTTTTTAATGACTAACTCTTTTTTGGTATAAAGTAGTTAATGCAAATATTAAATAAACCATTTTTGTGATGTTTGCACACATCAAATGAATGGTCTAGACTCCAGAAATCACAGGAACAGACTTTGCTCCCAAGTGTTACCAATTTCCCACTCTAAATGGGTTACATAAGCCCTGGCTAGTGGTTCCTTTAATTTATGGACGGTTTCTTTTTAATGGTGAAACGTGTAATTAAAAAAAGCTAGAAATAGTTTTTCTAAACTTACTCTGGAAGGGAAGGAGAATTTCAGCAATTTTTTTTTTTCACCCAAACATTGCATAATAGTAGAAATGTCAAAGATTTCCATGGGGTTTCATTTCATTCTTCATGTGGCTGTGGTCATGCAAGAAGTTTGAAGACTGCAGGGGCTGGCAGATTTTTGGAAGATCACACATCCTGGGGTAAGTTTTCTGCCTGGGTTTACCAAAGAATGCCAGTGGCCTTGTTTTCCAAACTGGGGTTGTATTAGACACTGGTGTGTCTCTGGTTTTCCTTTTTCTGAGGAGAAAGAATAGGTGCTGGCTGGAATGGGTGTCTCACTCTGGCCCTGAGCCTGATGTGCACATGAACCACTTGGGGAGAGGAAACCTCACTGAGCTGCTCTGTCCTCACCTTCAGCCACTGCCTCTTCTCCCCTGCCTTGCTGGGGCATTGAATAATTGCTGTGGCAATAAATGATCATCTTACATCTGCACTAGAGGGAGGGAACTCCTCCTGTTCCCCTTTCCCAGGTAGGAGAACCAATGGTCTGGGCTGGCCCCACAGGCAGAGCGCAGGAAGCAAAAAAATATTTCTTTTTTGGTGGTAAGATTTTCTCAGCACTTTAAACATAGGAGTCAATCTTCCAGGAAAGTTCCTTCTTCCACAGAGTATTCAGATGTCTGGTGCCAAATGAGAAATGTGATTGCAGGCTCTAAAAACCTTCTGATTGGGAGTGTTGATAAACCCCAATCCAAACATTTCAGTGGATCCCTTCCAAAGCTGGTGCTGAGGATTCCTTAGGCCATGAGCATTTGATGGCCTAAAACTCTCTGGGAGCTGTGGGCTCTCTGGGTTACGTGGTGCATCTCTGAAATTTTGCTGCTGTAATTAAAGCTGGAGATGATGAACCTCCTGCAGGATCTGTGAGAAGAATGTCCTTCCCTCTGCTGCTCTTCATCCCTTCGTGGCCAAGACCTGAGTGGGTTACAAAAAGGGCTCTAAAATCACTGCATTCTCTCTTTAAAGCCTTCCACTCTTGGCTTGCTGGAATTGTCCACGTAAGGCAGAATATTGTCTGCTCTTCAGATTCCCTCAGAAAGGAGGAGTAACAAGAACAAGCTGTGCAAAAGAATTTAACGCAGTAAAGATGGGGGTAATAGTCATTCTCATTTGTCCTTTTATGTGAAACAGATTTTATTTTAAATGTACACTCTGAGTAGCTTAACGATATCCAGAGAGTTGTTTGGCAGGGTGAGAGCAGAGTTACCCCAGGATGAATGGAGGTGAGTGGAGGTGCCCAGTGAGCCCAGAGCAGCCCTTGGTGGCCCTGGGACACACAGGGGTGTGCTGCCCTGTGCTGCTGGCAGGCAGCAGATTCACTCCTGAGCCTCACATCTGCTGCACAGAGCCCTGCTGGAGCTCTGGCACTGCTGTGCCTGCCCTGTGCTGCCTCTGCTGCCTTTAAACCTCACCTCAGGTTCCTTTGGTGCAGATGGCACCAACCTGGGACAAAAAGTGATGCAAATTGCTATTGAGCAGGACTCCTATTAAAAATAAAACAAATCAAATGCCCTGTAATGGTCTCACTGAGGCATTTCCCTGCTCCAGCAGCAATGTCATCGCCATGGGGAGAAGCTGTGCTCAAACAAGCGCTGGGAAAGGCAAAGGATGGTGCCCACAGAGGCAGAACTCCTCTGCACCTTTGTGTTCTGAGATTAGGGTTTGGAATAAAAGGCACATTTATAAGGATCAGCATTGCCTCTGTCAGATTTTAATACCTGATTTTTCCTAGAGAGGCTCCAGAAGACAAATTCTGAGTGAAATCTCTGTTGGCAGCACTGACCCTTGAGGAGAGGAGCTCCCAAAGCCGATGAAATGTGAGCATGGAGTTGGTGTCTGCTGCAAGACCAGGGGCTGATGGAAAGGAACAGGTCACCCTCACCCACCCCTCACACAACCCTCGGGTTTTGCTCGAGCTGAATTCTTGCCAGTGCTCATTGCTGGAGTGTGGAGCTGCTCCTTACAGGTGCTGTGCTCTCCATGAACTGCGTCCAAAGGAAAGGAAGCTCTGTGTTTGACAGCTGGGTGCCAGCATCCCTGGTTGTCCCCCAGGAGCCCAGAGCTGATTTACCCAGCCCCAGCTCACCCTCCCTGCAGAGCAGAGTGCCACAAAGCCTCGGTGAGCGCAGAGCCTGCAGCAAACCCAGGTGTTCACATCCCCCAGAGCTGCCACGCTTGGCTGGGCCCGGCCCAGGCAGGCCTGAGCTAATGCAGAGCTGTGTGGAGGGGGCAGGTAAGGACTAATTCCAGCCCCTGCACTCCATCACAGGCTGAGCTGTCAGCCCTGCTCACCCTGGGGCTCTCTGCCCCTCTGCATAACTGCATGCACTTGGCTCCTCAAGAAACAGGGAGAGTAAATCTGAGGTGCTGAAAGAAATACTGCAGCAGAAATTACACTGTGGGGAAGGTTTTATACGTGTTGGGGTGAATTAATGAATGGGTTGGGGGGTTTTGGAAAGAAAAAAAACACAACAAACTTTGTGCACAAATACATAGTTTAAAATATATTCTCTTTCAAACGCCAGCTATTTTAACAACAGTGTAAATCAGATTTTACAGACCACATATTTCAAGTATGAAGTTCATTAAATGTGTGAAATTCTAGATTAGCTGCCGGGTGTGGCCAGAGCCCCAGTAATGAATTGTAAATTCTGTTCAGGATATAATATCAGATTCCCTTGCCCTGGCGCTGATATGAAAGGACTAAAGGCACCTTTTCAAAACAGTCATAACCTTTCTTTATTGTCTTTATTTAGTTTAGCCATCATATGATATAATGAATGACTGCATCAGTGTTTCCATCCTGAACCTAATGCACAGGTGTTTAACCTCATTAATTGGTGGGTTTATTATTATTAAACCAACTTATGTCTCAGTGTAACTGAAATAAATGCTATCAGTTTATGCACTGCCCTGCCAGTGGGCGGCTGGCTGTCTTTAGATTGGAGAATATCACTCTAAACTACAATTCCCTGGGAATTTATGTGAAACAAAATTGATTAATGAATGATGCTGTTCTCATTCCATGGGAGCCAGGTACCAAAGGGAGCAGCTCTCCCTTGTGCTGCTGCGTGCAGTGACATTGAGGGACAGACCCCAGAGTGCCCAGCTCCACTGGGCAGGGCAGCAGGGCAGAAATCTGGGTGCAGCTCCAGGGATGCTGTGGGTTGATCCAGCACCTCTGGGCCTGCAGGGCCTGCCCTTGTTGTTTGCTCCTCTCCCTTTCCCTCCTGCACCATCCAAAGGGAAGGAGCTTCACAAGCCACTTCTAGTCCTGATATAACCAATAATGGGAATTTTCCAGGTAGCTGGGCCTGAAAATCCAGGGCTAAGAAGAAGAATTGACACCTCTCTCTCATGGCTGTTGCTTGCAGACCTCTTCCCAACGCAGAATGTCCAATGGTGGATGAAAAGCAAGCTCTCTTTGGAAGGAAATTGGAGCAGCTCTGGTTGCAGACTGGGAGAGCTCTGTGTGGGCGGATTCCCTGGGCTGGCGGAGCTCAGCGAAGATCCAACACTGTGTAACTCAGCCAAGAGAGTTGAGAAGAACGTCCTTCATTGAGAAGAGGTAATTCAGACAGGTGCACGGGCAGGAATGAGCCCGAAGCAGCCCCAGGCTGTGAGGATGCTCCGGGGCTGCTCAGGAAGGGGCTGCAGGAGCCAGGAGGGCAGCGAGGGCACAGCTGAGGGTGGGAATCCTGCTCAGCCCCGCTCTGCAGCACACACGGACGTGTGGAGGCTGCTCCGGGAGCCTCGGGTGCGAGGGACGCTCGGGGAGAGCGCTATTTACTTTGGAAGGGCCAGCAGCTTTTGTCAAAAATACTTATTGTTGCTGTGAGACTGAAATACCTTTTGCAAGTGGAAAACAGAGATGTCTCCATGAAGTCTCTGATGATAAAATCCAGGCAGCTGCCCCAATGGCCTGAGAGCACATCCTCAGGAAGCCTTGATGCCTTATCTCCCAAAGAGCATGAGAAATAATAATAATAATTTTTAAAAATAATGAGTTGTATTGCCAAATGCCTGCGTGGAGCCGGGCAGGGAGGCTCATCCTCCAGCAGGGCAATGCTGTGGGCGGCTGCCAGGGTAAGTCAGGGACCCCCCTGGGGCTGGGAC